CGGGAAGAAGCTTTTGGAGCATTTTTGAAGAGGGATTTTCAGAGGAGTCCATTGGGGTAAGGTCTTTGGTCCCAAAACTTTTTATTATAGTGATTTTTATCATCCTAAGCATGAAAAATTAAGGAAAATCAGTGGAAATTGTGGGATTTATGGCTTGGGATTAAGAGACTTTGAAATGAGGATTTGAGGGGTCATTTGGACTCCGATTTCAGTGTTCTTGGTATGTATGAACTCGTGAGAGTGTGAGGATTTCGGAAATGTAAATTTTATCCGATTCCGAGACGTGGGACTGAGGGGCGTTTGGTCATTTTACATGATTTCGCGTATTTGCTTAGAATTTAATTATAGAATCAGTTATTTGAAGTGTTATTTACATTATGAAATTGAATTGAATAGATTTGGGCCATTTGGAGTCGGATACTCGTGGCAAAGGCGTGGTTTCGGGTTGACTTGCACTTGTTCGAGGTAAGTGGCTTGTCTAACCTTGTGTGGGGGACCTTCCCCTTAGGATATGATATTTGGTAATTGAATGCCTTGTACGTGAGGTGACGAGCGCGTACTTGAGCTAATTATTGAAAATCCGGTTTTACTTTAAGTATTTTAACTGAGTTCTTTTCTTACTTGTTTTATTCTACTTGCAAACATAGCATGTGTTAGTTTAGAAAAGCATGCTTAGTTGACTTAATCGCCTATTTGCTTAAACTATGTTAATTGCATTACGTGAAGCATGTTAGGCTAGAATTAACTGTCTACTTGTTACGGACTTAGTATTTATTTCGATATTCTTGAGCTGCTGCTGTGTGTTTTAAATTGGGACTACGGGACGGCATCCCGGGAGATCCCCTGTGCGTATTTATGATCCGGATTGAGGTGCGGGATACCAAGAGATCCCTGGCACGTGTATTGAGGATACCAAGAGATCCTCGGGATGCCAAGATATCCCTGGCATATGTATTGAGGATACCAAGAGATCCCTAGTGTGTATATTGAGGATACCAAGAGATCCCGACTATTTATCCCGCTGTGAGGGGTATTTCCTTGTAGTTTGCCTTTATCTCTGTTCCCGTTATTGCACTTTTATCCTACTGTGTAGACCCTTATTATAGACTCTCTGTTTTACTGCTTATTTATATATATATATATATATATATATATATATATATATATATATATATATATATATATATATATATATATATATATATATATATATATATACACACTTATCTCAGTAGGGCCCCGACCTTCCTCGTCACTACCCGACCGAGGTTAGGCTTGGCACTTACTGAGTACCACTGTGGTGTACTCATGCCCTTCCTGCGCATGTTTTTCATGTGCAGATCCAGGTACCTCTGCACAGGCTTACCATCCTTGAGGCAGGGAGAGCTTTTGGAGACTTCGAGGTACATCTGTCGCGTCCGCAGACCGAAGANTATTAATTTTAAGATAGTATAAAATAAAAAATAATTATAAAAATTATATTAAAATCACAAAATTATAACAAATAATCTATTTAAAATATTTTCGAATTATAATTCATCTATGAATAATACGAAAAGTATGACATTATCATAATATGCAAATTAGCTGCAACGTCGTTACAACTCAAATATCAAAAGTAATGTATTCAATGCGTAATCGTATATGTATCTCTTAAGGAGTAATGAATCTTGAAAGAATTTCGATATTATAATTTGATATTTTTTAAAATACTTCTTTTATTTAATATGCTTTCTATTTGAAAGAGAATTTATATAAACATAATTCACAATTTAAATATGATTCTCTAGCATCATTTAGTTTTAAGTTTCAACAAGTTAATAAAGTGCACATATTTCACCATACTATACCATGATAACTAATTATTTGTAAATAGTTACTAGCTAATGCTGAACTATTAAATTAATAAGTATTGTATCTCGTAAACGTAAAAAAATAATATTTAGGAAAATAATTATAAAAGAAATTATGGACTATTATATAATAAAGACATAACAAAAGTTAACAAATAAATACTTTTAAATAAAAGATTTATTTAAATTTTACTATATAGTAGTCTTAGTGAATAACGTGCAATAATTTTTATTTAATTATGACATAAAAATACTCTCAACTTAATAATTTATGATTAAGAAAAAAGTAATTTCAAATACTCAACGATTTATTAAGATAATTTGAGGATTTACAAGGTTAGTTACACACAATTGCATAAAGGCGAGCCCAGTACTCTGGGCATTGGGCGTGTTCGGGGCGTAAGCCCCGGCGGCCGAGGCGTAAGTCTCACGGAACTAAGCCCCACATATAAGCCCAGGGGCGTTTTACGAGTACTTCGCCCGGGGCGAGTCCCAATTCTACCTTTTAAAACAGAGATCTTAACTTTTATTCATCACAAAATACAAATTCGACTGTTAAGAATTTGGAATGAGAATACGTATACGGACCCGTTTGGCCATAGATTTTGCCAAAATATATTTGGTTTTTTTGGAAAATACATGTTTGGTCATAGATTTTATCTATATTTTGGCAAATTCCCAAAATTCAAAATCCAAATCCAAAAATAGCTCAAGGCCCAAAATATCACTTTTGTATTTTATAAAAGAGCCCACCATTTATTATTTTGTAACAATGCTGCTTCGTTTTTTCGGTCATCTGATAGTGTATTATGTACTTCATTATAGAAATGATAATTTTGTACCAAATTTATTTATGTTCAGGACTATGCTTTGCGATAATATAATGAATGTTATTGATAAAGATTGTGTTGCGTATTTGTGATAGATTTTAGAACTTGTGGGTATAAGTCATGTTTAATGTTTTAAAAAAAAAAAGAAAGTGAAATATGTTTTGAAAACTTATGTCCAAATACATTTTCATCTTTAAACCAAACTTCACCCAGATCAGTTTTTCCAAAACAAATTTGGGAATCTATGGCCAAACGCGTAAAATCATTAAAAAAAAGAACTTTGATACTTAGCCCTGGTAAGATTATATACATTGACTCGCCAAGATTAAGAGTCCAAAACCTAAATAATGGTATTTTGGACTCAAAATACCTTTATACAGTTAAAAAAAAATTACATTTCTAACTAAAATACAGTATTATACTGCGTTTTAGTTTAACGGAAAGTTAGCAGTTAAAGAAAAACGTAGTATAATACTGCGTTTTAATTAATAAATTATTTTTTAATGTAAAACGCATTATAATACAACGTACATTAAAAAAAGAACTTTATGAATGTTGTCAGATATAAACAATACCTTCTTTTCAGCCTAGGTTTTACAAGATTGAGTTTGTGTATCTTTATTAAACTCAAAAGTTTCTTTTGATAAAAGGTGTGCTAATTACTTAAATAGTCATCTAACAAGATATAAGAACAAAACAATAAAAATACTGTCGTATTTTTTTTGTAATAAGATAATCAATAATATGATACCCATTATTCTAGAAAATAACTCTAGCGTGAGACTACCTAATTATGCTTTGTTTGATAGTATTGTGCATTTTTAGTGGGTGTTTGGACATAAGAATTGTAAAATTCCAAAAAAGTTAAAAAGAAATTCATGTGAAAATGATATTTGAAAATTAGAGTTGTGTTTGGACATGAATTAATTTTGGGTTGTTTTTGAATTTTTGTGAGTGATTTGAGTAAATTTTTTGAAAAATAGCTTTTTTGCAATTTTTCAAATTTTCGAAAAATTTCAAAATTCATCTTCAAATGAAAATAAGAATTTTATAGATAAATATTAATTTTGAAAAAAAGTGAAATTTTTTCTAGAAAATATTGATTTGAATAAAACGCTGCAGCTTTCTAGAATTTTAATACATTAAGTTTACGGAACACTTCGAATTAAATAATGATATGATTTCTCCTGTAATTGCTAACTTTTAAGGACCATTTGAACTTGCTCGCTAGTTACAAGTCATTAATCACTTAAAAATAATATTGTGGATATTACAATTATAAATCATTACTATTTTTCATAGGTAAGCATGCTGATTTTTTTGAATTTTTTTTCATTTTTTTTTCGAAATCAGTATTTGGCCATAAAATTCTCAATTTTCACTTGAAGATGAATTTTGGAATATTCAAAAATTTGAAAAACTCCAAAAAGTTATTTTTCAAAATTCACTTAGATCACTCACAAAACTTTCAAAATAACCCAAAAAATTATACTCATGTTCAAACACAATCTAATTTTTAAATACTATTTTCACTTTAAAAAATTTAGACTTTTCTTTATGGAATTTTATAATTCTTATGTCCAAACGCCCACAAAGTAATAATAATACCAAAATAAATTAGGGTAAAGGAAATAGTATTCAATTTCCAAAGATTTTTAATATTAAATATTTTGGTTAATCAACATTTTTTTTACCGTTAAAACTCCTTTGTGTTTAAGAAAGTTGTGCACCAAATTCTAGGAGAAAATAAACGTTGTGGGACCCATGTATAAAAGGTTGGAATTAAGAGCTACAGAAAATAGCCCGGTGCAAATGCAGACAAAGCTGAAAGATGTACAGTCTCTGTTTTATAAGGTTGGAATTAGTAAAACGTTTATTATAATGCGTTTTATATTAAAAAATGATTTATTAATTAAAACATAATATTATACTATGTTTTTCTTTAACGATTAACTTTTCGTTAAACTAAAACGTAGTATTATCTTTTAATTGTATAAAGGTATTTTGAGTCCAAAATACTATTATTTAGGTTTTGAATTCCCAAGATTAATGGCTAAAAAGAGGCAATGATGATTTTTATCAAATTTTCATTCCATTCTGAGCTTATCAATCGGGCATTTGATATAATTCGACCCGTATCTTTGCGGGGCATGCCCTCAGATTTCCCCTGGTGCGTTTTTTACAGCCATGGCGTCGCTGGAATCTCCTTTTGCGCAAGATCAACGCATATCTGAGCCTCAATTTCACCCATCGTCGGGTCCCTTTTCCGGCGAAATCCGAGTTGTATGTTTCTCTGCTCAAAAGCCCTAATTCTTTTTTTTTTTTGCCGCCGATTATTTGGAAGGATTGAGTCCAAATAATCGATTTAGTTTGACCTGATTGATCTATAGTCGAAATGGACTTTGTTATGGGCTTTTCAAGCGAGGCCCAATTGATTAGGGCAACAATATAAAAAGCGGCGATAACAGCAAAAATAGCAAAATCTCATTAGTTTAAGTATGAGGCTGCGGTGAAAGCAGAGAGCTGTGGGGAGTTTCTATGGGTGGTTTTGACCCTCTTTGTCTTTCTTCGCCGCCGATGATCAGTCAAATGCAAAAAAAAAGTTCCGATTGCAAAACTGCCCTTTCGGTGAAAATACATATTACTCCCTCCGTTCACTTTTACTTTTTGTGCAATGAGGCTATGAAGATTATTTTGTTCTTCTGCGGAAGATGATACAGACATATATTTCTATTGAGCTGGAAAAAAACTGTAACTTGGCGTGGCAGCTCCGATGGGTCTGTGAGATATTGGAGAAAATTCCATTTTAGGGTGTTTTTTTTCCGTCTCATAAGGCTAACTGATGCTTGCAGCCATGTCGGTTTTTTCAAAGCTTTTTGGTTTTTGTCTGAGAAAAGGCGAATCTGAGCCTACACCATTACTTTGATTTTTGATTTTGGTTTTTCCTCTAGTCCTTGATTGCATAGGCGAAAATCTAAGCTCATTCCTCAATTTAACTTTTTGTTCTACTTCCGAGACTGTAACTCAGAGAAGCTTTGTGGGAATAATTATTACCTTGAAGATTTCGATTTCAGTGTTAAACTGATTTGATTTTTCCAAAATGTTAGTCGAAAAATTTCTCCAAAATTTGTATCTGAATTTTAGTAATTGAATGAGAAGCAACGATGATGGTCAAAGATCAAATAAGAATGCAAAACTACCACAGATCTTCTATGTGTTATTGTGTTGTGAATTAATCTCTTGATTAGTTCTCTTTGGTAACTAACCTTAACAACACTATTTTCGATTGGAACAATCTGAGTCATGAGTGTTATCCTATGTGGCATTGCTAAGAAGAAGTCTTGATGGTTACAAATAATGTTAAGATCCCTTGCTGCAAGGTACTCTTGCATTTTTGCAGACAAGAACATGCAGGTGATGGGTTTTTGTTCCCATTAACATGAAGTGCTAGTTTGAAGCATGGGGCTAGATTATGATGTGTAAGAAATATTGTAAAGAAACTACACTTATTTTGATGAAAACTCCAGGAACTGTGTTTGTCTTTACATTCCAAATTTCCGTGAAATCATTGTAGATTCTGGCTACAACAGGAACAAAATGGAGAGAAAGAGAGAGATAGAGAGAGAGAGGAGGAGGATTGGAAATCAATAATGTTTGATTGGGATGATCTAATGTTCTTGAAAGAGCTATTTTGCTTGGTCAAGGAGAATTACCAAAGAGCTATGAATCTTGTTGATATGTGTCAATAGCAGCTGCACCATATCTTAGATATTTCTGATAAGCAGGATAAGTTGATCCAGATATTCTCCATTAACAACAACAACATTCTCAGTGCGATCGCAGCCCTTTAAGTAATAATCAAAGCTGCCAATTGAAGGTTTGTTATTAATGCAGAGATTAAAAGAGATCCCTTTAATTAATGCATTTCTAGAGCTTTTGGCTAAAATCAAGTATCCAAGAACCACGAATTGTAGTCTCTAGCAGGGTAAATGGAGATCCAGCCATACATAGCTGCTCTAGTGAGTTAAGAGCTATTACGCTTGCAATAATTATATATAAAAACTTCCATTTGATATGGGTATGCCTAAAAGTGTTCGCTTTTTTACTTGAATTCTAGGAATGTGAGTGCTAACACCTATTTTTGAGTTTACTTGTTGATAAATATGCTCTTTTGATACTTAATCGTATTCACCACTCTCTTTTGAACTCTGTAATGAATGGGAATGCTCTTGCTCTGAGATTGGTGTGCCTTATTGTGTTTTTCTTTGTCTAGAATCGCAGGCATCATTATTGAAAGTGTACTTTCTGATACTTTAGCCCTTATTTTCTGTCTTTGAACTCTGTGTAACGAATCACAATGCCGCTTCCTTGATGTAGGTGTGCCTAAATGTGTTTTCTTTTGTCGAGAAACTTAGGCATGTGAATACTGATGTCTATATTAAGTTACTTTGTTGCTGATATTTTTTTTGGAGTAATCCTTATTGGTAAAGCACATAATTTCGTCATGTTACCTGTATTTTGAACTGTAATTTGATACTCAACTTCGAAATAATATAATACCACTTGATCAACTCATGCAGGTGCTATCTCCGCACTTCATATTGTCAGAATACAAGCCAAAAGCTAAGAAAGGCGATGCATTTACAAGGGAGTAAGCTCATTTTATAAATTATGTAAATTTTGCAGTTGTTGCTTGCTTTATGAATACCCACTAATCTTTGAGATCGATTCCATGCTAATTTGTTTTTTGAGAGTCCTTGTTTCTATTGGTCTTTTGCCGCATTTTGTGATTGACGTAAACAAGATGTCATACTTCTTGCTCCTCTCATTCAATTAATTGTGTATTCTGTGCATGAAGGAATTCATCCTAAATGATGAGTAATTCAAGTAAGCTATGGATTAACATCCAAATGAAGCTTTTTTGTCATAGTTACGCTGATAGATGAGATTCCTTTATATGTGTAATCCTAGGGTTCCTTTTTCTTGATGAATGATCTCACATAGTTTGTTATGTTGTAGATAACAAGAGATATAATACTTCAAAAACAAGAGAGATAATACTTATTAAGAAAAGAGATATTACATGAGCGCCAAAGAGTGTGGCATAGTTGTCAATGAGGTGAGCGAAAATCCCAAAGACTATGGTTCAAATCCCAACCGTAACAACAAAAAAGGCTGTTATTTCTTCTTATCTGTCTATGTCTTGGTATGTTAGAGTTAACCAATGCCTGTAGGGGTCGTTTGGTAGGATGCATTAGATAAAATAATGCATGCATTAGCTTTGTGTATTAATAATACCTTGTTTAATAGACATTTTGAACCTATGCATTGGTTATGCAAGCATTAGTTATACATCCTATTTGGTATTATCCTATGCATAACTAATGCATAGAAAACCATGGTATTAGCAACACAATGGGTTTTAATGCATGCATTAGCTTAGTTAAAGACAAAATTGTCCTTCAAAATTTATGCTTGATTAAAATATGCTAGTTATTATATTAATGCAAGTTTAAAATAATTCAAATAGTGAGAAATAAAATTATATCTCTAGTAAATAAATAAATACTTAGCATATATTTTTTTTATAAATAAATATTTAGTTCTATATTACAATATAGGTAGACAAATCAAATAATTTTTTTAAAACTTTTTCATATAAAAATATTTCTCAACATATGTTTCTTTTAAAAATTTAGAGTGATGGATTGGTTTTGAGGGCATTTTTGTAAACAAGCAATTCTTTTGGAAATTGTGTAATGTTTTAATACATCAAACCAAACAATGGATAAGTAATATGCCAGCATAACTAATACCAGCATAACTAATGCAAGCATAACTAATACCAGCATTAGTAATACATCCTATTAAGCATTATTCTTATGCACCCTACCAAACGACCCCGTATTGATGAAAGGCAGGCATGTATCTGGTGGAATAGTCGAGGTGTACATAATAATGGTCCGGATACAACCATTATAAAAAAGAAATACATGTCTTTTCTAACTGCTTTTTGCTGAAGCATCTTACCTCCCAAAACTTTCCAGTAAGTTTTCATGCACCTCTTATGAGAGTGGTTTTTAAAAATCCGGTTAAGCAACATATACATCGCTTTTGCTGTTTTGAAAGGGTGTTAACATTATTTAAACGGAAAGGGGCCAACATTGCTCCTAGACACTGTTAAATTGAACAATTTTGCCCTCCTTTAAAAAAGTTTCTCGTTCCTATTCTTGCCGTTAACAAAGTGGCTTGATTTTGCCCTTATGGGCTAACAACAACAATTAAAGGACAAATTTAGACCATTTCCTAAGTCCATTCTGGCGCTACTTAGCAAAGAGGGATAAGTTAGAATAGGAAAATCACAACAACGGTTAGTATATGTTACTCCCTCTGTTCCAGTTTATGTGAACCTATTTCCTTTTTGGTCCGTTCCAAAAAGAATGATCCCTTTCTAAATTTGGAAACTATTTAGCTTATACTTACAATTCTACCCTTACTGAGAAGCTTTTATAACCACACAAATACTCTGGGCTCCTTTTTGAATTGTTTAGGACCACAAATTCCAAAAGTCTTATTTTTTCTTAAATTTCGTGCCCAGTCAAACAGGTTCATATAAATTGGAACGAAGGGAGTACTATTGTATCAAATCAATGGATGTTTCTTCTGTATGGTGAATGATTTGCAAGGCTTCACATCTTTCACCTCATAACTCCCTGTAAATTTTTTAATGCATGACTTCTCATCCTTCTCAATTACCTCAAGTAAAACTTAAATCCAATATCAACATATCCACCTTCAATCAACACAGATTGCTTGTATATTTTCTCATTATCCACTATGTTGTATCTCTTGAAATATGGTATTTCCGGTGTACCTGTTTTAATAAAAATTAAACACGATGCATGTAGAAAATACTTATCAGATGTTGATCACCAAAAAGAATGAAATAATTTGTTGTAATACTTTAGATGAACATCCTTTTGGTCAACTTTGGTCTCTGCGTGGCTGTATATAATTATCACTACAAAAAAAACTGACTTTAGCGACGGACGAATTCCGTAGCTAAATAGTATATTTCCGTCGCTACAACTGTTTAGCGACGGAGTAGCGACAAATTTGTGTCCGTCGCTAATTTGCTCGTAGCTAACCCTTTACTAACGAAAAAATTGAATCCGTCGCTAAGTTAGCGACGAATTAGCTACGGTTTGTATCTGTTGCTACTCTTAGCGACAACACATATCCGTCGCAAGTATCATCAATTTTGTCGCCAAATCGATAAGTCATTTAGTCGCCGAATTTAATTGGCGACGAATATTTTCTGTCGCTAATCTGTCGCTAATATTATTGAGACATATTTGCCTTTCTTTTAGCGACAAAAATCTTTTGTCGCAAATCTGTCGCACCCTGTAATACTATATTAGTTATAGCTACGAAGAAAATCCGTCGCAAATTATATTTTTCTAATTTTATTTAATAAAGAACATATTGTTCAAGCATACATAAGATACTCTTAATAAATAACTGAAATTCATAGAAATATTCTACAAGATCCAAAATAGATACCAAAATGCAAATGTATAATTATGATTAAAATATTTACAATACTAAAATAAAGTTCAACCAAAAGTGAAGGTCATCATCAAAAAGCAATGCATGGACCTGTTAATACCAAACATCTACAATACCAAAATAAAGTTCAAATAAAGATTGTTAACTACTGAGAGATTGGAGAGTGAAGGTCATCATCAGAAAGCGATGCATGAACCTCGTTAATATTAGTAGGAGGAGGAGGAATTGGAGGTGCCATAGCTGATGCGTGATCGGTATGATTATCTTGCACATGTGATGGTGAAGCTATCAATCTTCTTACTCGCTCAACCAACACAGGAAGCATGTGATCAATCAGTGCAGGAACCATATGGGAAGGGGAAACATGCTGTGGGGGAGATAACAGTTCTGAATAGAAGGCATCAAACAAGGAAGGGAACAACATAACTCGGATACTAATAAGGAATCAAAAGCAATAAATGCACGGCATCACCCTTCGTGCTTTTACTCTCGTCCTCACCAAAGCAAATATAATCAAAGGTGCACGGCATCACCCTTCGTGCTTTTACTCTCTTTCCTCACCATAATTAATAGAATCGGCACGGAATGGTACATTATGCGGCACGGCATCACCCTTCGTGCTTTACACTCTTTCCTCACAATCATGCACGACACCACCTTTCGTGTTTTATCAATCTTCCTCACCCAAACAACAATCACAAACTATGGGGCGAGGGAATAAACAAGATTATAACAGAAATCCCGGCAAGGGAGCCACAATTAAACAATCGAATCCCGGCAAGGGAACAACATCAACAATACCAACATCCCGGCAAGGGAGATAACCAAACAAGCAATAATATCCTGGCAAGGGAACAATTTAATAACTCTTTCTCTTTTCACTTTCACTTTACAACTCGCTTTACCACTTGAGCCAATGCTCCAAAGGGTTTAATCAACTCACTTACTTTCACTAATTCGTAATATAACTTGAGCCATTGCTCCACGATGTTCAAAAATCACAATTACTTCCTTAACTTTTCACAACAGATAGAAATCACTTCTAAAGCATAGATTATTCAACGAAATCATGAAAATTACATTATAAGACTCACGGTCATGCTAGACACCAACGTATAGATGTTCGTCACCATGCCTATACGTCGTATTCAACAATAATCACGTAGCAAATAGGACTCGACTCCTAATCCCTCAAGCTAAGGTTAGACCAAACACTTACCTCGAACTTCCACGGCCAACTCAAGCCTCAAACACCGCTCTTCCTTTCAAATTCGGCTCCAAATCAATTGTATCTGTACATAAATGACTTCATAACATCAAATAATGCTAAACAACTCGAATCCAATGCCTAATTATAGCTTTCCAATCATTCTTCCCAAAAACCCAAAAATCGACCCCGGGCCCGCTTGGTCAAAACACGAGGTTCGGACCAAAATCAAATCCCCCATTCACCCACGAGCCCAAATATATAATTATTTCCAGAATTCGACCCCAAAACGAGGTCTAAATCACCATTAATTAAAAAGCCCTAGTTCTATCCAAATTACATGTTTTAGGCCTAGAAATCTAGTGGGTGTTGATGGAAAATGAAGAAAACAAGTTAAATATTACTTAACCAAAAAGTTTTGGTGAAGAAGTGCTTCAAATATCGCCTAAGAGCTTTGGAGAAGAAGGGGTTTATGAATTTTTATGAAAATCCTGTAATGGGTTATGTTTTGAGACTTTAAAATAACTGGGAAAAAGTGTTCTTCGCGTTCGCGACATGCCCTTTCGTTCGCGTTGGTTAGGCCTGCTAGGCCTTTGCGTTCGCGGAATGTGGCTCGCGTTCGCGGAGCTTGGCTCCTCAAGCATACGTGTTCGCGGACCATTGGTCGCGTTCGCGATGAATAAGCTGGTGACCCCTCCCCTCAACCTTACGCGTTCGCGAGAGGAAGGACGCGTTCGCGAAGGGTCTCCCCCCTCAGCTTCGTGTTCGCGTCTCAACCTTCGCGTTCGCGAAGAAGAAACTGGCCATCTGGGATCTTTGCCTTACGAGTTCGCGAGGGGTACCACGCGAGCGCGAAGGGTAAAATCCCTGGGCACTGACTGCAGAAAATCTGCAACTTTTCTTAAACTCAAAACTTCCCGAAACACATCCGAAACACACCCGAGCCCTCGGGGCTCCTAACCAAACATAGGTACTAACTCAGCAACATCATACGAACCTATCCGTGCGATCAAATCGCCAAAATAACCTCAATAACAATGAATCAAACCTCAAATTCAAGAACTTTTCTCAAACTTC